ACAGACAGACAGACATAAATTCTAAAAACTATAGATTCAATGACAAACAGACACTTCAATTTTATTAATCTGTATAGATTTATAGAGTTACCAGGCGAATAATATCCGCGGCGACATATAGACCAGGGCTGAAAAAGAGAAAAATATAATAATAGTGGGATGAAACCCATTGGAAAAGGAAGAGAATATAACAAAAATGAAAGGAAAAATAATTTACGGGCGATCTGAGGTCGGGAAGTGGGAGAGGGTGAGTTTTTAAGGGTAAAAAACGGTTTACCTCGATTTCCGGCAAAACTACAAGCCCTTTGGAAAAAAGGTTCATTTGAATGGGACCAACTGCACAGTACAGGTGATATCGTACCTAACGCAATACCTTCCCCTATTCTGACATGAATTTCATGTTAATATGTAGTTAACCAATTGTTTTATATTGGCTTGGAAATTGGAATCGCGTTAATAGTTGCATTTTTCTATGCTTAGGTATAAGGAAGCTGAGCCATCGCCGCCATTTTTTTTCTTAAATTATACGGCACTAGATTATATTTTTATATGAAAAACAATTCTTTTATATATCATATTTATTCGGTATAAAATTCTCTGCAAAATATTACGCTACCTCCCGTACTAAGCGTTTATTCTTTATACATATATGTAATAAGTGCTTACTATGTTACGATTTTTTTCCATTTAAACTCTTTCATAAATTATTGATATAACTCATTTACCGCAACCTTATCCCCACATGTCTCTACTCTCTAGTATTTGTCAGCTGACAGCTAACGTACATATAGAAGCTTTAAACTATATTCTGTTCTTTAATTTATCTTCTATTATAAAATAGAAGATTAACTAAAACAGTGTAGATGGCGCATATTTTATAATATAATGATAAAGTCATAGAGTTAGGTGTAGGAACATTAGCAATGACAAAAAAGAAAGAAATAGATTTAGACAAGATTCTAATAGAGTTGGGACAATACGGGCGTTATCAAAAGCAGAACTTCTTCTTCATTCTAGTCGTGATCATCTTCAGTGCCGCGAACAAAATCCAGTACATATTTATGGTTATGAAAGTTGAAGCCAGGTAATACTTTTTATATATAATATACTCGTAGTTATCATATGTTATATTGGTACGAAGATTAACCGACAATGTCAGGGAGAGTGCCAGGTCTCCATTAGTTACATGTTAGGTATCGGCTCATTAGTTCCAGAGGTTATTAACTAGGTACATATAAAAAAAAATTACCTCTTTTAATACTTTCTTAGATTTACGCGAATACTTGACATTTTAAATAAAACTATCTTTTCGGATTTTTTCGCGAATTTATTTAGATTTTTAATTTCCGACGTTTTTTACCTGTTTATTGTAAGATCTTCATACTTACACCTATGAAACTAGAGAACCTTCTAAGTATTCTTCGTTTACAGTTTTTCAATTTTTTTAAATATTCTAGTCTACCGTTTGTTACTTAGCCAGTCCGTATATTTCTTATTTAGTGCGAAACCTGTGCATAAACCTCATTCAAACAATAATAATACTTAGCCTGCCGTTTTAAAAACTGTTGATTTCATTTTCATAACTTTTTCACAAAATTCAGTTCATAATTATACATTTGTTGGTAAAAATAATCTAAATACCCAACCTATGTGTCCCCACACAAGAGTAAGACGAGCAAAGCGAAGCGTAAGGGCATTAACTACCTTTTCTCGAAGCGCTTCGTCTTTTTATGAACCCTCTTAACTTAGGTTTGGATTATACCAGATAAATAAAATTGTCGAAATATAATGCTAATAGTAGACTTATTAAAAATATAAAGTTTCAATTGCGTAGCTGATAGCATGGATTAAAAGTGGAAAACTAAAAAAAAAACATTTCATACAAAGTAACCAATTTTTAAAAAATCCTTTCTTAGCGGGCCTACATCACACAAACTATCATCCCCCAAACTTAATCGATTTCGGCCACGAAGGCCAAGCTACAGTGAGCTTGCCCAGCTTGGCCAGTATCATTATACGATGATAGCGAATTGTGCGGGAAATAATACGGTGAGCGGATTCTTCTATCAAACTTTAGAACGAAAATCCGATACGACCAATAAGTGATCAGGCGCAAGACAGACGCGACACGTGCTCTGGGATAAACCTAGCCAATTTCCGGCGAAAAAATTATCTTATTAAAAATTTCTTAAATTCATAGCTTTAGTGGTCTAACTTCAATCATAACTTAAAAATGACACAATGACGGTAGATGTTTTTAGTAAATTGAACAAGTGCCTACGCTGATGTATCTCGAAATTGTTTACATTATATAGCATATATATTTTTAGTATTATGTTACATTTAATTTATTAGCAATAAATAAATTATGTATGTAATAGGAAGAGGCTAGCGTCTAAGATACAGGCTCAGCCTAGTTCAGACGTTAGTATACCTAAACAAAGATCGTGATAATTATATAGTTTTAAAAAATGTCTTGTAACCCTTTTGTATTTACGTCAATAAAGGTATTATTATTATTATTCTTGAGTACAAATGATGAAATTCAACTATGATACAGGACCTCCGGGTCTGCAACCGTACATGCTAGCTACTAGACCAAGCAGTTAGCGAGCAGTTTCACTTTTATAAGAAAAAAGAAATGATTACATATATTTTGTTCGTTTTCTATTTTATTTGATCGTGGTTTTTGTTATGTTAAATATATTATATTAAAGAGCATTATACCAAGTTTCAAGTAATTCTGATCATAAATATTTTTTTGGGTTCCGTTACAAAGTGTATTGCCGTGGGAATGAGATAATCCTCACGGTAAAAATGTAACCTATGTCACTCTCCAGCCATCCAACTATCTCCACACAAAAAATCACGCCAATCCGTCACTCTCTTTCGTCGTGAAAGAAGGACAAACAAACAAACCAACAAACACACTTTCAAATTTATAATATTAAGTATGCATATCACATATCAAGTGATTTGATAAGGACACAATGTATCAATTAATTAGAGATTACCTTCGTTTTACATATGTATATTTTTCGTAATGATATGTGATTAAATTTTATCTAGGTATAATATAAAAATGAATCGCTGAATGTGTTGGTAAGCGCAAATCTCGAGAGCAACTGAACCGATTTCGCTAATTCTTATTTTAAGAATATTCCTTGAAGTACGAGGATGGTTCTTACGGAGAGAAAATTTAAAAAAAATGCCTGAAAAAGTCTAAAAACAACACTTTTCTATACTCCCACACAAAAGATTCGTAATAATACTTAAAAGTCAATTTGAACTTTAATACCATAACATAAAGTTTAAGTGTTATTGGACAGGTTCCACGAAGGCAAAACAATTGAGTGACGTTAGTATCGTATAAATATTAATGTCAATATTTGTCAATATTATTAACAAAAGAAATTAAAATTTATATGACTAACGCTGGTTAATAACTATTTATATCTATTTAAAACGTACCTAGCGACGAGCCCGAGCGAAGCGAGGGTGAGCCGCTAGTAAGTTAATAAATTTCAAGCATTATTCAAAATATATGGTAATAATTTATAATGTTTAAAATTGAACTATCTTTTCGGATTTTTTCGCAGAATTATTTATTTTTTAATTTTGGTTCCCGACGTTTCGAATGCTTTTTACAGCAATCATGGTCACGGGAGAGAAGAAAAATTAAAAAAAATCCGCGAAAAAATCCGAAAACATAGTTTTATTTTACTTAAAATAAAATATCAAACATTCGTGTATTTCTAAGAAAGTAGGTACCTATTATCTATAATGTTTTTAAGATTCAGGAATCGGGTTCTGAAACATGCATTTTTGAACCTTAATCCTTCCGCGACCGCGGACACGCCGGCGTGTCAGTTAGCAATAGATTTCTTAGAAATTTAATTAATTTCTTAGAAATTTACCTGGAGGTGTTAATAGGTGGCTAGATTAATATTTTAGAGAATAATAAGAAAGAGGTATGTAATATATGATTATGGCACAAATAGTAGCTAACATAGATATACTTAATGATAATTTAATAAACTAAAAAAAATGTTTTTGTCTAACCGTAATAACAAATCAAACGAGTCCAAACTCCAAGGTTTTACAAACAGTACCTACACATTGATGAGTTTTACTATTTACTTCTGGCTCAGCCTTCATTATTAGATAGCAATAAATTATGTATATTGTTTCAACCGAATGACGAAAAATTCCTGACGATGTTTTACTTCACCGCACTTGAGAATATCATAGGTTCGAGACTCGGGATTTGAACTCTCTTCACTCGGTTTCTCTAGCGAGCGCGTTATCACTAGGCTATCACTGCCTGTTAACAATTATTCTAGAAACATACTCAAAGTGTGACACCCCTTTTTAGAGTAAGTACAAGTAGGGAAGGAAAAAAATGAGGAAACGAGGAAGTTCTTGCAGTGTTTACCTTCGATTATTATTAAGAGTTGTATTGTAAAGCGTAGCCTATGTCCTTCTTACTCGAATCCTCTATCCGATAGTGATAGTTCTAATTAAATAATTTCAAATGTTGCAAAGGTTAGCGGATACAAACACGGTGAATATTTAAGTCAATTTTCTTGTTAATGGCTTCAAAGCGTGCCAGTTGAGCACGAACATTTCTTTATAGCTAGATTTTGGTATCAATTAAATAAAAATGCTCCAGATACAAGGGTCTTTCATTAATAAACAGAATATTTGCTCGTGTTATTTGACTTAGTAGGTATACGCCATGAACGAATATTTTTTGTTTGATTAAAACGAAAAATAGATAATATCTCTTCTGTGACGTAAAAAATTACTTCTTCGTCATATGAAAGTTGTCATACTTAAGGCATTCTGACATTGCTTCTTTTTGTAGTAGGTACTATAACGTGAAATAACAGAAACTTAATCAAATATGATTACTTACAAACTACATATGGTAACTAATATGAAATATAATATTTTTTGCCAAATCAAAATATGTTCCTTATAAGTTCGAATCTAAAGCAATGAAAGCAGTCAAACTCGACGTGGATTTAGACAAGACGCTCAAAGAACTGGGTCAATACGGACGGTATCAGAAGCAGAACTATTTCCTCATACTCGTCGTTATCATTTTTAGTGCAGTGAACAACTCCCAATACGTATTTTGCGCATCACAAGTTAAGGCCAGGTGAGTCTTGATGTACATCTGTATATAATATACTAGTGAATCACCCTCGCCTCGCTCGGGGGCTTCCTTGGGTATGTTTTAGATATATAAAAATAGTTATTGTGAGTGTATCTTAGGAGATAGGCATATGCTATCCCAGACTTTTCTTTACGTCTTTTTGAGATCTATAATTTACTAGTACACCATTTTGATGTATCTCTCAAGGTTTAACCAGCGTTAGTTGTATAAGCGTACGAAAACAATTTTTTTTTGACAAAACACCGTATAGTTGAACTACATTGTAAAAAATATTTACAAATTATATAGGTACATACACAAATTTTCCTTGTTTATGTATTAGCTAAAATCCGTTCGTTCCGTGTGGTTCTGAACCACAAATTGAAGTCAGCGGAGAAACAGACAGCGGCTGCCAACGACTTTGTTTTATATGTATACAGGCATGTATAGATTATAGATATACATATTATTATGTACTAGAGGCTCACCCTCGCTTCGCTCGGATTCGCCTCTAGAGAAGCAAAAACAAATCTATCTAACGGGAACCGTATATTTTTCCGGCATAAAAAGTATCAATTATATGTTATACTGATGTATGAGCTATATTATTGTAAAATTTCATTAAAATCCATTCAGTAGTTTTTGCGTGAAAGAGTAACAAACATCTATATGTACATCTATACATCCATACATGCTCACAAATTTCGCATTTATCCTGTTGATAATCGCGGAATATTTATTAGGATAAGGATGAGGAGTGACTTGCGCTCGAACTTATTTTTTTATTTTCCCATTAAGATATTTTAACGCACTAAATTGTTAACTATGTTAATGGTTAACCTTGTTACTAATAGTCTTACGTAATTATTGACATTTTTGTATAAAGACTAGCTCGGCGGAACCACTTATTGTGTTTTCCCGTGGGCATAAGAGATTTCCCTGTAGTAAAGGATATGCTAAATGTTGACCCAAGTACTAAGTTATCATTACACAATTTTGATAAAATTAGATATACTGATAAACAAACATTATTTAAAAAAAAATATTTCATGTACAGATGCTTGTTAGAACATCTTAAAGTGTTAGCCTCCCTTGATATGGTTTAACAGCTCTATGCATCGTCTTTAGGGCGTCCATTAGGTAGATGCTATTAAGTTCTATCAAAAATGTCCACAGAAAACGTAACGTTTAGTAACTTAAAACAGAAAGTAGTTATGAGCGGCACTCGGTGTAATAACTAATAGATAATTTTAATTATACCACAAATATTCATAAAATCGAAAAAATAAAAAAAGCTTTAAGATAATATGAATGAACTTAATATAATTTAATTTTTAGAAAACTGTGTTTGTGTTTGCGTGTGCGTATTAGCAATCGGATAATTGTAAGGTTTATTTTTTTTATAATATTTTTACCAAGTTTAAAAGCTATTTAACATTTTATTTAAAATAATATATTACATTACATATTATTCAGTATTATTTTTATTATTGTTCACTTGCTGTGTAATGTATTCTATCTCATTCTCTCGCCGGCTTAATCCTCTACATTTATGTGTCTGTCTCTTTGTCTTGATTCTAAAGAAGTTTCACTTCAAAAATAAGATACTATCGTAAGTTACGCAGATACACGTTCGAAACTTGCCCTTAACTGTGTGACCCTGTTAATTGTGAAAGTATTTCATTCGACATCTCTTTATTATATAATAATAACTTGGGAGAAAGCAGTACACTCACACGATATTATTATATAGCAGGTATATTTTTAAAAATTTCGCCCTTATCAGTGTTAGATTCCCACTATAAATATTTGTGTATATTATAGAATACTAGGTACACCACTCGCACTTGGAGATATATTTATTTTTGGTTTTAAAAAGTAGGGTCCGCAAAGACATATCAATGGCTTAGTAATAGGGTTCCAATGGAACCCTAGAAATTCAAAACTCTATAAACGTTTACATAAACAAGCAACAGGATAGAGGATTTTCGGTTTCACGCGCGTGCGCACCTCATTTTGTTGACCGACTTCGAAGAAGAGGTATTCAATTCGTCTATTTTTTTGCATGTTTATGTTTTCTTATTACTAGTGTTGATCTCGCGGTCGAAATTTGAGCATAATAATTTATAATTCTTGAAAATTTGAGAAAAATATAATATATGAATAGAATTTACTTATTTATACATGATATAAAAAACTGGCAGTTTCCAATCATTTTTTTATAGATACCACTAAAGCTCGTCAATAATAAATCGTTTGACAAACAGAGGAAAAAAAAAGATACGGAACTGTTTTTTCTTTACCTGTTTATACTATCTTATCTTACTATCTTCTATACATATAATAAAATTGTAACTAAGCCAAATCTGTACATTAGATATTTTTTGGAAAATCTTATTGAAATAAATATAATTATCGATACAGAGGTCGAATCTATAGTTTTTAGAATTTTTGTCTGTCTTCTGTCTGTCTGTTACCGCATCACAGAAGTTGGACGGATTTTGATGAAATTTGGTATGGTAATAGCTGGTTATCCGGGTCAACTAATATACTAATACGAGTATACTAATATATAAAACCTAAGAATTTGGTTTTGGCCAAATGACCGCGGGCGGAGCCGCGGGCAATGCTAGGATTTTATAAAACTAATAAGTACCATAATATATCCTAGGTTTTGTCAGACAAGTGACTGTTGTTAAACCAGAGCGGGACTTTGATCTATACAAAATACAAATACTTAAGCACGACGCTAATAAACATAAAAAATGAAAATTTCTCGCAGTCACCTATTAATATAATTTTGATTTTGTTAATTTTGTTCAATAATTAACTACGTATTATATCCGAGTATCGAGATAGTGTCTAATGCCACCAGGTATTTTAATTCCATGAAAATATTTAAATCAATTTTGTGATAGTAAATAATCTATCTACTTTATCCGCATTGTACATTGCTAAGGTTGTTGATAAATCGCCTATTTAAACTAATACTAGCAGAACCCGCGACGCTTGCGATAAAACTACAAAAAAAATATGTAAAAAGTTAGGTTTAATACAAATTTTCATATTTTACCCCCTTAAGGGATGAATTTCGAAATATGCTAAAACACATGGGTACATATCTATGTATTTGTATTGAAGAGCATGAAAACTAAGTTTCAAAAAATTTTGATCATAAATATTTTTTTGGGTTGTATTATATCGTGTTTTCCCGATGGGAATTAGTTAATCTCTCGCAGTAAAAAGTAGCCTATATGAGTATCCAGTCCATCCCCTTCACCCTTGTTGCCTGTAAAAAGAGCAACCCAAAAAATACACATTTACATTTTTAACCGACTTCCAAAAAGGAGGAGGTTCTCAATTCGTCGGAATCTTTTTTTTATGTATGTTCACCGATTACTCGAAAACGCCTGAACTGATTTGGATTTTTTTTTGTTTCAAAGGATAGGTATACTTCCCAGGTGGTCCCATATAAATTTTATCAAAATTGGTCGAGCGGTTTTTAAAAAAATCAATAACAAATTATTTAAAAATAAATTGTTTAATCGAATATGTTTTTTAAAAATTTTCTTCTAAAAAATTACCTGCTTATTACGTCTACACTAAAAATGGAACAATAGAAACTTAAAAAAAAAACATAAAAACCGACTTCCAGGCACTAAAATGTAAAAAATAAATAAACTGGGGTTTTTATTTAGAATAAGATACCTAATTAGATAATTCGAAGTGGGTGCCGAACAGCCGACAATATTTTAAGATATGAATATCTAATAGGTAAATATGTATTTTACTTATCGAAATATATTAGATTTGCTTTGCATCGGCTGGCACTGACTTCGAAAATATCTGATTAGGTATCTATTCTAAATGAAAACCTCCGTTTAGTAATTTTTTACATTTTAGTGCCTGTAGTCGGTTTTTTTTCAAGTTTTTATTATTATTAGAATTAATTGCACGAGCTAAACTACGACAATAGATATAGATCATAAGATTCTTAGATTTACGCGAATATTTGACATTTTAAATAAAATTATCTTTTCGGATCATGGATCGATAATAAATAATAATGTCTATTTCAATAAGATTTTTCAAAAAATATTTAAATACAGATTCGACTCAGAATTTTAATATAATTTACCTATAGATTATCTTTTTTAATATCGTATAACAAGTATAAAACATAGAATTTCAAGGTAAGGCTAAATATTTATCTAGTGTCACTGTTGAAAAAAAATCTTACTTTAAATATATTTTATCATCAAAAGATACACGTGTGTATTACATAATAGCGTTATCACATAAATAAAATGTATATTGTGTACCCTCTGGCGTGTCACTCCTCTGTGCGCTATATATGGTAGTGCACCGTCGCGTCGGTGGAGGACTAGAAAAAAGTGCCATTATTTTGCATCTACCGCACGCAGCGCCCAACCTCCCAGCGGCGCAGACGCGCGAGTCGCTATCTTAGCGATATACGAAAACTCTTTACTATTACAAAAGATCCTCGTGGTTTCGATCTTTATGGGACGATTAAGAATGAACTGTGACCTTTGATTTTTCATATTATTCATATTACAATACGACAAGTGATAAATAAACATGGCCAAAGAAATGGATTTGGACGAGGTGCTGGAGGAGATTGGACCGCTTGGACCTTTCCAGATCAAAATTTACAGTTTGATTTTGATCCCGATTTTGTTCTGTGCAGTGTACAACACCCAGTATATATTTGCGGCGGCCAACGTACAATACAGGTGCGTCGATATATGTACATTGTACATACATACACATTAACATTACATATGTACCTAATACAAGTAACTCACGGCATAGTTTACTTAACTAGGTCATGTTAATCAAGCCTTTTTAATATCGTGTCTCTATTTTTTATATCTAACAGCAATCTAATCCCTAATCTCCGAAATGGCTGAGTCGATTACAATGAAATTTTCACCGGCAGATAGTTAAAGTTGTAGTTGGTATTCGAGTAGACAGTAGACTATTTAAAATTTTCACAGTGTATATGTATGTACTAGCGGCTCAAACACGCTTCGCTCAGGTTTGCCTCTAGAAAAACAAAAAGAAATCTGTCCCTCGGGAACCGTACATTTTTCTGGGATAAAAAGTAGTCTATATGTTATTCTGATGTGTGAGCTATATTGTTGTAAAGTTTCATCAAAATCCATTCAGTAGTTTTTGCGTGACAGAGTAACAAACATACATCCATACATACATTCTTACAAACTTTCGCGTTTATAATATAAGTAGGAGATGTTCCAATAATAAAGTCACTTGAATAACCACTAAGAATGTTTTTTTTTATGCAATCTTAAAATGGAAAGGTAAAAAGAGAAGGGATAGTAATCTTTTCCAGGCAAAATTTTGGTGTTCAACACAATTTTGTTTTTCCGGAAAGAAAAAAGTAACCAGGTGCAGAGTGCTTGTATCTAATACGACAAAAATTTTTAGATTAACAATAATTCTACTGGTAATTTACATAAAAGTATTGTAAGTGCTACATGTATCCAAGAGTTTTGCTGATACATTTTATTTATTTTTATATTATAATATTGGATCCAATTGATAGTAATGTAAATATTAATGTTTAACATATAATAATATTTATTATAATAAAATATTTACAATTATGAAAAAATTCTGCTCCATTACCAAATATGTATTTATAAAAGGTAATAATTATATTTATTGAAGAGAGAAAAAACTGTTAAAGTAGGTACGTTTTTTTACAGGATAAAAAGTAATTGTACAAATAATTTCGAATAGGTAAATATTTATTACTAGCAATTCACCTTCGCTTCGCTCAAATTGATTGATTGATTTTAATAAATACGTTAGATCGGTTAGTGTGGAATAGATAGATTTAAATTATGATGACTATATTATGATACATGGCCTATAATAGCCTTCCTCAATAAACGGGCTATCTAATGCAAAAAGTATTTTTCAAATCGGTTTAGTAGTCCCTGAGATTAGCGCTTTCAAACAAACTCTGCCTCTTAGTATATATAGATATATTTAACGTGTTTATATTAAAGTTTAGTATAGATTTCTTAGAGATGAGATATATCCAGCAGTAAAAAGTATCCTATATGTTGTCTTACTAGATATTATCATACCAAATTTCATCAAAATCTGTCCAGTGGTTTTCTCGTGATGCGGTCACATACAGACAGACAGATAAAAATTCTTAAAACTGTAGATTCGGCCTTATCAATAAGATTTTCCAAAAAATATTTAAGTACAGATTCGACTCTGTTAGAATTTTATTATATGTATGTAGAAGTAACATAAAAGAATCATAGTAAGTTATTCACTACCGGTTATGTCAGGACAGAAATAGGAGGAAAAACGATATTATAACTGGAAGGTTCAGAAACTACGCATTTCGATTGCCGAATGGCAACACGTCAAATGCTTTTTTGTTACTCCAGATGATGATAGGGACATACCCAGCTGTAAGTCTGTAAATAGTTGTATATTGACACCCTAAAAGTTGTCTCAAAACCTACATATGGTAGGGTGTAAGCAACTATTAAATTTCAAGGTCAAAGGTCACAAAAATCGTTTTTTTGCGCATTTTTTGGAAATATCTCATTTCCTATGGGTTTTTTGCTATTTGTATTTATTATCAATATTGTAGAATACAAAATTCTCCGCATCACTTCAGGTCAACCGGTGCCTCCGGTCGAAAACGCGCCATATATAGTTGATGAACTATCAATAAATCAATCATTATAAATATATGTAAATTTTTATTAAATATTATATTAAATTTTATCATTTTTTTCCTAACTTATCCACTTTTTATTCAGTATTAATTTATTTAACAACACTTACCTGCCCATGTAATTGCAGAATTGTTAATGAAAATATAAGAATTATATTTGAATTTTAACCTTATTAATATTAATAACTTCTTACATGATGAAAAAAAAAAACAAATAAATTATGAATTAATCTTTTTATTAAAAAATATCATTGAATATTTTTTTTTTATTGAAAGTAAAAAAATAAAGAATAAAGGGTACAAAAACTACAATTTATAATTTTAATCATCTTCTTCCTCTTCATCGTCGTCTTCTGGCTGCTGGTAAATTTGATTTTGAGACAACTTTTAGGGTGTCAATATACAACTATTTACAGACTTACAGCTGGGTATCTCGAATTCCGAGATGAACTTACTATAATGACTGGACTATGTCACAATGCGGGCACTGTATAGCCTATACAATTATCATTAATCATACGACCCTTCGACACCAGAAACCCCTTTTGCAGTAAATCTCACTTCCCGTAATCCTAACTCCATTAATTTAGAAAGTAATCGTATATCTCCTTATATTTGATTTCCTGTACATATTGTTTGATCTTATGATCAAGCCTTGAATATTTGAATATTTTGGTAACACGTTTGATTGACCTTTGATTACCTTTACCTAAATATATGTATATACCTACTCATGGTTTTGTAATAAATAATAAATAAATATGTTGGGACATTAACACATAGCACTATCTAGTTCCATGGTAAGCTACGAGGCTTGTGTTATGGATACCAGATAGTTGAAACACTACACATATATAACTTTTTTTATACATATCATAAATATTTAAATTTAAAAAATAAAATTTTATTGATTTAACATTTGACCTTTGAAATTTAAACAACTTTTATTTATGACCATTTTATTCTAATGGTTGACTAAAATTAAAAATCGATTGGGTTTTCTGTAAACTGTAAGACCAAATTTTATAGTTTACTAGCGACTCACCCTCGCTCCGCTCGTGTTCGTCCCTGGGGTGGGGTCTGGGAGGACCACCCTTATCCTTATCAATAGATAGTAGCTGATTCTCGGACCTACTGAATACGCATATAAAATTTGGTAAAAATCGGTAAAGCCGTTTCGGAGGAGTACGGTAACTAACATTGTGACATGGAAATTTTATATATTAGATTTTCTTGCGCTCTTACAATCTAAACATAGTACAATTTCAAGGGTAGAATTTCTTTCTTAAAATAATTAAACTATATATATATATTTTGTTACGAAAGAAAAAGGGTGCCATATCGACTTGGGCCTAGGCCGCCATCAAACCTAAATCCACTGCTGATAACGGGTACGGGTAAACCGGCACTATGCACTACATAGAACTGATTAAGCAATACCCGCCCTAACAATTTACATAATTGTTATAGCAAGAAATAATAAACATCGCAGTTTAAACTTTCGACCACTAACTCATAGTGTGCGAGTTCGATTTCACCAATTTTTATACACACTCCACTATCCTCTAAAAAGCGTTCGTTATCCCGGAAAAAATAGTAAAAATATTGACATTAAAACCACATAGTATTCATAATCGCAATTTCTACCTACAATTCTGTAATTTAGAAGATCGATCTCCATTCGGATAGACAGATATTTTAAATATTAACATCAGCTCTGGTCACGTGTAAATTACAATATCTAGGTGTGATTTAGATATAATTTATTCATTGCCCATGAATTAACAACGTGTTTACTTCATAAAGGTCAACTTTATAATGTTTACTTGTAAGCAATCGAAGTAAAAACTCCAAAAAAATCCTCTAGACCCGTTTATGTGCCCAGTATTTAGCTTGTTAAATCGTGCAAAATGTAATTTATTGGTATTTTTCTAGCGTATATTTAATGATTTTTGTCCAACATTTTTTGCCCAACGCTAAGAAAAAAACATGGAAATCTAATTTTTATATTATTTATAAGAGTTACATTTTAGTCGTATATACTATATTTTTCAATTATTTACTTTTACTATTTTGACGAGATAAATACATACATAATACATATATACTCCTATATACAACTGCCTCGGTGATGTAGTGGCTAGCATGTACGGCTGCAAACCCGGAGGTCCTGGGTTCGAGTCCCGAGTCGGGCCAAGTTTAGTTATTGAGTAGTTCTGTATAGTAAGCCTCAGTAACAGCCCGGAGTTGGGAAGTTGGCGGTGTTTTACCCCCGTGCCTCGGAGAGCACGTAAAGCCATCGGTCCTGCGCCTTAACTCTCACCGGTCGTGTCGAGTAGTCGTCCCAACAGAGTATGAGAGTGACAGGAATAGAGAGTGCACGTTGTGTCTGCGCGTACACGCGCTGCACTATAATATCTCCTGCGCAGTTGGCTAGTCTCAATGAGACCGGCCGCCGTGGCAGAATCGGTCAGGAGAACATCATCATCACTCCTATATAGATATTATGTTGTATGATAAATAACTTATTACAAACTGACCGAATTAAAAAGATAATACGATTTATTTTATTTCGAATAGCTCTTTCTTTAGAGGGTTCCCCATTTTACATATCGTCTTTCTAAAAGTAGGACCCAAACTTATTTTGTGCGAAAATTAACGTCAACTTGCTGCACAGTCGCAGCGTAAAGCAAGGACAAACAAACAAATATGTTTTTGCATTTAAAATATTTAGTAGATAAGGATTTTACGTAAATCTTTTACCGCGAAACGTGTCTTATTAAATCGCCCTTTTGCTCTTGTAACGGCTGTCAGATGCAACAATGTAAGGAAGTGGCCGCACTGGATGTTATCTTCCACTTAAGCAAATCTCCGAGATATAGTATATCTATGGCATGTTTGAATATTTTGTGCACAGTAATGCTCAACCATACAGGTTCTGTATCACTGCTATACTCGTATATATATATTTGTGTTATGTTATGATGAATAGCTTTTAAAACACCT